GTATGAATGCCAGAAAAGGCCTCAGTCTCCGTTAGACACTGGACCAATTATGCAAATTATAGCTGTTTCACGCTTACAAAGACAACTTCAGAATGCTACAAAAATTAGACAGCTAGCCCTGGACTTCCCATCACTTAATGACACCTCTGAGCAGCAGCAGCATCTCTACTGGGAAATAGGCAAGGAAAAGGCACAGACTCCTGCTGAGGCTTGCCCACTACTGTTGAAAACCATTTCCATCATCCAGGAAATAAATCCATCATATACCTAAAATATCAACTAACCGTTATCTGCCATCAAGCCTGGCAAACAGGATTCAATCCCCAGAGCCCATATTGTGGAAGAATTGTCTCTCACAAGTTGTCCTAACTTAAACAAACACAGGCAGATAAACACAACTTTAAAAAAAAACTTACATTACTTTTTGTTTTGTTTTGTGAGACAGGATTTCTCTGTGTAGCCTGGCTGTCCTAGAACTCAAACCCAAGAGATCTGCTTGCTTTTGCCTCTGGAATGCTGAGACTAAAGACATGCACCCACACGCCCAGTATTATTACATTCTTACATTTAAAAAAAAAAACAAAAATACAGAGTGGTGGTGGTGCATGCCTTTAGTCCCAACACCTGGGAGGCAGAGGCAGTCAGATCTATGTGAGTTCAAGGTCAACCTGATCTACAGAGTGAGTTCCAGAACAGCCAAGGGCTATAGAGAAACCCTGTCTTAGGGCAAAAAACAAAAAACACCCCAAACTTCAAAGTATCCTTTTCAGATCACATATTATTGAAAAGGCAGAGAGTAAAGCAGGTGGAAAGGACAATAGACATTTAGTTGCATGAAAGCACCCGGTGAACAACAGGGCACGGTGGCTGGGAAGGCTGTTCAAAGGAGCACCGTGGAGCAAGGTTCAGAGTAAAGATTACCAATTTTCAGGTATGCAGTCAACAAATGGCAACTTCAAGTGGTCCTATCACAGCAAGTCTCTCCCACTTTAAGACAGGGTCTCACTATGTAGTCTTGGCTGGTTTAGAACTCATTATGTAAGGCCAGGCTGCTCTCACACTTACAGAGATGCACCTGCCTCTGCTTCCTGAGAGCTGGAATTAGAGGCCTAGCCATGAACTTCTGATCTTTTACCTCTACCTCCAAAGTGCTGGGATTATTGGGATTACAGTCATGGATCACAAGGCCCTGGTTGTGTAGTGCTGGACATTGAATCTAGGGCTTCGGCATGCTAGGCAAGCACACTATTGACTGAATTGCATCCCCAGGCCCTTACCTATCTATTTAAAGAAAGAGTTAGCATGGTGCCTCATACCTACATAGACCAACCTGGGCTACATAGTGAAGTTCCAAGTCAGGCAAGAGTACGCAGGAGAAGACTGTCTCAGATAAGTAAGTTTTAGAGGGAGGGGAGAAGAAAAGATAAAAAAAAAAAAAACTAAAATAAAGAGGAAGGAACTAAGGTCCTCAAAGTTTCAGTGGCTTGCCCAAAACCACACAGCACACAGAAGAGGGCCTCCAGCCTTCTCATTTCTCCTTTCCTAAAAACAAGTTCACTAATAAATCCTTAGGGACCCTAAGAACAGGCAGGAAAGTTTACACAAAGATACGTAAGAACCGACGGGCAGCCCCCACCCCTAAGAGATGAATTACTAAAATTACTTAAGAATTACAAAGTAATTTTATCCCAGCATACAGATGACTCTAGAAGTAAATATTCCAAATTATTTCACCAGTCCAACCTGAGCAAAAAGCTCAAAATGCACACACACAAAACTACTACTACTTTCCTTCTAGCCCATCTCTACCAGGTTTAACTTACTAAAAACATGTATTTTTTACTTATGTGTATATTGCTTGTCTGTGTGCAGGCCAGGTGTGTGCAGGTGTCCAAGGTGGTCAGGTAAATGGCAGTCTTGTGTGTCTGGAGAGGGCCTGCTCTCTGGACATCAATGGTTAAGTTCTCACTGCATTATTGAATGGCAAGGAAGGTCAAGTTTTGGGCCTCTTTTATAAGGACACTAGCCATCTTGTGAAGGCTCTGCCTTCATTTCTAATCATTTCCCATTACACTTGTGATTAAACTTTCAGTATATGAAAGGAGGCACATTCACACCATAGCATTTTACTCCCCCACTCCCAAAATTCATGCCCCTCACAAATACAAAAATACCTCATTCTATTCTAATAGCCCCCAATATTTACTCCTGTATCAGGTTAAAAGTCTGAAGTCAAACTAGGCGGTGGTGGTGCACACCTTTAATCCCAGTGCTTGGGAGAGGCAGGCAGATTTCTGTGCGTTTGAGGTCAGCCAGGTCTACACAGTATGTTTCAGGACAGCCACAGTGAAACCTGGTCTTGTAAAACTAAATAATAGCAACAAAAATAATAAAAATAAATAAAAAATAAATCTGAAAGCCAAACGCTTACCTAAGTACCACAGGCTGGGAGAGCAGTTAGGTGGCCCAGTACCTGCCAAGCATGGGGCTGACTACTGAATGAATGGATGCCATCTAGACCAGGGCCAGAGTCAGTATATGACTCATCCTGTGACAGGCAGTGTGCAGCTACCAGGATTTACTGTTACCCACGAAGGGAAGGCTTCCACAGAACATGCCCAAGAGCATGAGGTCTGCCTCAGTCTGTCCCTCAACTTTCTGAACTCGAAGGCTGTTGATGGGAGGGGCAGCCTCGTGATTTCCAAAGTGCTTTTGGGTCATCTATCTGTGAAAGGTACCTGATCACCCATGTCCTTATCAAAAGGCAGCTTGAGATCCAATGCCTAGTACAAAACAAAATAAAAAGGAAGTTCTGGCTGCCATACCCTGTACTCTGTCGAACACTGCTTTACGCATGCACAGGGTGAATGCAGGACTACTCAAGCATATCCTCTAAGAATGAGGGTATCAACCGCTCTCTCCTCAGCCCTCACCAAAATCATCTCGAAAGGTTGCATTTGTGAGCACATAAGCTTACTATTGCGCATTTTAGAAACTCCACTTTCAATGCACTGGACAGGTGCACAGCCACTTCACCTCTGGGTATTTGTTGAAGTAGCATCCTACTCTTGCTTCCAATTCACTCTTAGTGTGTTTGAGCTACTAAAGCAAACACCACTGCCTGGGCTTATAAAAAACCAATCACTCACACTCTACAAGCTAAGTCTCCTTCACAGTGGCCAAGTCCCCAGAAGCAGCAAAACTTCTCTCGAAGGTCCTGTTTGGACGAGGTGTGGGGAGGGTGTGCTAAGACAGGGTCTCATGTAGCCCAGGCTGGCCTCGAATTGACAACGCAAGGGAAGCCTTGCTTGAGCTGCTGACCCTCCTGAGTCCACAGTGAATTGCTGAGATTCCAGATGTGTGCCACCACACCGGGTTCTGTCACAAGTCTTCCTTCTAATATTAGCATGTTGCCACTCAAGGTTTCAAATACACTTTTTGAGGAAACAGAAATTCTGGATAATAATTATGTTTTCAACATTGCCTTTTCTTTAGTTTTTTTATGTTTTGGGTATTCGTTTTTGCTTTGTTTTCAAGACAGGGTTTCTCTGTTTAACCCTGGCTGTCATGGAACTTGCTCTGTAGACCAGGCTATCCTGGAACTCTCAGAAATCTGGCTGCTTCTGCTGGGATTAAAGGTGTGGGCAACCACCACCAGGCATGCCTTTTTTAAAATGACTTTTTAATCCTTCCCTATAATTGACTCATTATAGGAATCGATTTAGACAACTTACCAAGCCATCAAAGGATTAGCACTCAGAATGTCTTAAAGGGTTTGCACTATCAGCATCACCGAGAGGGATAAAGCACTTAGCCTGGGTGCCTTCAGTCTATCTGAAGCAGGACTGATAACTATTCACTCTAGAGGAGTGTGCAAGGATCAGGAGAGAACTCTTAGGAGTCTTTTGTGAACTGAGACTATCCAGGGCCAACTCAGTGGACGCTGTAAGCTGTTTTACAGTCTCCTGAGACTGCGGATGCCATTCCTCCACACATGACGGAAGGGAAGAAAGAGGGCCACCTACCCTGAAGCCCCACCAATTTCTTGTCTTTTCCCACCTAAACTTTACTCGTGTACAATCGCCAAGAGTCTCTCGACCTGGTCAAGGTACAGGGGAAAAACTGACCATAAATGGCCAAATAAATGTTTCAATTGAACCAGGCAGTAGTAGCACACACCTTTAATCCCAGTACTTGGGAGGCAGAGGCAGGAAGATTTCAAGTTCAGCCTGGTCTAGAGACCAAGTTCCAGGACAGGTTCCAATGCTACACAGAGAAACCCTGTCTCAAAAAACAAAACATAAGTTTCAATGAACTATTTATTTATATTCAGTAGCACTCAAGTTTCAGATTCTGAAAACAGTTCCTAAAATTTCTTCTCAAGGGTGTTTACTACTCTGGAGAGCAAAGCTACAGTTTAGATTTGCTTACTGTGTACAAAGCCTTAGGTCAAGTCCCCAGCAACACGCACACACACATACTGAGGGAGCAGGGGTAGAATAGTCATACTTCAAAGAAAAAATCCCAGATCTTTAAAAAAAATCCACGCTAGCTGGGCGGTGGTACTGCACCCCTTTATTCCCAGCACTCGGGAGGCAGAGACAGGCAGAGCTCTGTGAATTCGAGGCCAGCCTGGTCTACAGAGTGAGTTCCAGGACAGCCAGAGCAGCACAGAGAAACCCTGTCTCGAAAAACAAAACAAAACAAAAAAACCTACAGTAGACACTGGTATTTACAGTGGATATGTTACACACAAATGCTAATAAAGTAGCTTTCAATAGCAGTGTTAGAATTAGTGAGCCCTATCAAATATAATGACAGCTCAGAGTGGCAGACACTGACAATCTCTGTGAGTTTGAGGCCAGCCTGGTCTACATAGTAAGTTCCAGGACAGCCAGGGTTTCATAGGGAGACCCTGTTTAAAACAAACAAATGAACCAAATCAAACAAAAGCCCAACTGCCACGGAAGACAAAAGGCACTAGCCCCTGAAGCACTGACCTCTAGTTCTAGAAGATGCTTGCAGCACCCACGCCCTGATGAGAAGCTCCGTTAGGTGTGAAATCCCAGGAGCCCTGCCCAGGCCACGCTGTCAGCGAGCGCAGGTAAGCGGAAAGCAGCTCCACGCTGCACTTGCACAAAGCTGAAGCATCTGTGTTTTGACCGCAATTTAAAAAAAAAAAAAGCAAAAAGGGAAATGAAAATCCCATATGAAAAAAAGCAACGGAGAAACTTTCTCCAAAATAAAAGCACCGCCATTAAAAATATTATTAAATATGTGTGTATAAGCTCCACTATACAACTGAATGTCGGTTTACAAAAATATACATGTTTTCAGAGTTAATTATTTTAAAATAATACATATTTTAAATACCTCATCCTGCCACCCCAGGAAAAAAACAAATTGAAAGTAAGACCTCTTCAGAGGTGGCTTCTAACACAAACTTTCACCTAGATTTTCTAGGTACATCCCAGTGTATGCATATTGCCTAGATTGGCTGGATTATGATTAATTTCATCTTGAGTCATTAAAATGTTTAAATATGGTTTATTTTCTATTTATTTAATTTACTATTAACTTTTTAAAATTTTATTTTTTTATACCGGGTGGTGGGCGGTGGTGGTGCATGTCTTTAGGCCTTTAATCCCAGCACTTGGGAGGCAGAGGCAGACAGATCTTTGTGAGTTGAGACCAGAATGGTCTACAAGAGCTATTTCCAGGACAGGCTCCAAAGCTACACAGAGAAACCCTGTCTCAAAAAAACAAAAAAAAAATATTTTTATTTTATTGGAGTTTTACCTATATGTATGTCTGTGTGAGGGTATTGTATCCTAGAGTTACAGACAGTTGTGAGCTGCCATGTGGTATTGAACCAGGGTCCTTGAGAAGACCAGTCAGTGCTCTTAACCACTAAGCCATCTCTCCAGTTTTGTTAAGGTTTATTTATTAAGTATACAGTGTTCTGCCTATATGCCATAAGAGGACACCAGATCTCATTATAGATGGTTGTGAGCTACCATGTGGTTGCTGGGAATTGAACTCAGGACTTCTGGAAGAGCAGCCAGTGCTCTTAAGCTCTGAGCCATCTCTGCAATCCTACTATTACTTTCTTTTTTCCAGCTTTACTGTGCAGCTCTGCTTGGGCTAGAACTCACTATGTAGATCAAGCTGGTCTCAAACAGAAATCTGCCTTTCTCTGCCACCTGAGTGCTGAGATTTAAAACGTGCCACCATACCCTGCTATGGCTTATTTTATAATTAAATGGTTGCTATATTTCTTCAGAGTTTAACTCAACATGGTTCTTCATGGTATTACTTATAAGCATGCCCAGAGTAAACTGAAAACTTCAAATGATTTTATTCAAAATATTTTATAGCATAAAGCCAGTTGAAATGATGTTTAGTAGATCTAACGTGTAGCTTAATGGGAGAGTCTTTGCATAACTTGTAAGAAGCCTTGGATTCAATTCCCAGCACTGACAGAAGAGGGAAGGAAGGAGTTAAAATGCTACCAATGGTTTTATTGAGACTTCCTCAAGAAACAAAAGCAGACAGAAATTGCAGGAGAGATGGCTCAGTACTTAAGAGCACTGGCTACTCTTCCTTCCAGAGGACCTAGTTTTGGTCCTCAGAACCCACATGGTGCCTCACAGCCATTAGTAACTCCAGTTCCAGGGGATCTGATGTCCTCTTCTGACCTTCTCAGGCACCAGGCACTTATCCGGTGCAGACATACACACAGGGAAAACATCCAATCATAAAATAAAAATGGTAATTAAAAAGCTAGAGACAAGGATTACAGGACCACAGTTGGTGTTAAACGTTACTTATGCCCATTGTAATTTTTCAGTAACAAGCATATGAGGTAGAGGGAGAAATACATGGCTATTAATAGGAGCCCAAGGCCCCTAAGTAAGGCTAGCGCTTGCAAACGGCATGTGTGACCTAAACCCCAACAGAAAGAGAGAGGCTAACTAACAGAGGACAGAAGGCTTAGAACACCAGTCCTGTCTGTGCTGAAGTCTTAGTCTTGGACTAAGCAGTCACGTTTAACTTCTCTCCCTCATTTGCAAAGGGTTTTGCTTATCCTAAGGCAGCCCAAAGAGTAGACACATCAACAGACGTAGTAATAAATGACCTATCATCAAGGCTATCTTTTTGCTGGGAAGAATATAAAGTAATACAAAAGGAAGAAGAAAATACTCCCAACTTACTTCGAGCTAGCCTGGTAGGCTCTCAGACCAAGGAAAGAACACCTGGAAGGTTTTAGGGAGTTTTGTTGTTGTTGTTGTCCCTGCTCTTTTGTTTTCTGTTTTGTTAGACACAAGGCCTCACTATGCTGCCCATGCTGGTTTCAAATGGTCCTCCTATCTCAGCATCCTAAATAGCCAGAAATAGCAGCATGGTCTCTCAAAATTGTCTCCTAACTCTGCAACTTCAGGCAAATACAACAGCAACAAAAATGTTTCAAAATATATATATCTTCCAGGCAGACTGCAAATAGGACAGAAAATACTATCTATCCTTAACCAAAACCCAGCCTAGGGCTGGAGGGAAGGTTCAGCAGTTAATAGCACTGGCCGCTCTTGCAGAGTCCCTGACACTCACATGGTGAGCAATTCCAGTTCCAGGAGATCCAGTGGCCTCTTCTGACCTCTGGGAATACTGCTTGTACATGGTGCACATGCGTGCAGGCAAAACACCCATAAGCACGAAACAAAGATAAATACATCTTAGTGCAGAAATTACCCTGTTTAGTGAAAGCTGTGTGTACAGATCTAATGCTGTAGCTCACAAGGAGCGAGACTAGCTGAGGGAGCACAGAACCCGGATTCAACCATTCACTACGTCTCAGTGTCTTCATCTCTAAGATGCGGGTAGGAAAACTTACATGTAGGTTACTATGCAGCTACATGAAAAATATAGGAATAATATTAAGCATAGTAACCCTATCTAACACACTGTTTCCCCAAATAAGGACTAGTATAAAAGAACTATCTTCCAGAAAAAGAGACATTAAAAAAGAAACATTCTCAAACTTTAATGTAAAATAAAATCACCCAAAGGATTTGTTGAAAGTGCAAATTTGGAGTTGGGTGGGGAGGCTCTCAAGTCTGTAATTACACTGGGGAAGCCTCTGCGGGAAAGAGACAGGAAGACTTCCAGTCAACCAAGGCCAGCCCTAACTGTGGAGCCAAGACACTGCCTCAAAAAACCAAAGTCTGGCAGAAGAAGTTCAAGATGGGCCCCAGACCAGCCTAGGCTACATAAAACGCCTCCACAAAACACAACAAAAAGTTATAGCCAAAGCCTGGGGTGTAACTCGGGGGTAGGGTGTATACATGGGGTGCACAGAGGCCTGGGTTCAATTCACAGCCCCAAAGAAAAGTGGACTGGGGAGAATACAGATTCTCTGACCCACCTCTCCAAAGTCCCATAGGTCTCAAACAGAATGAGGATGTTCTCTGACCCAAACACCAAGGATTACAACTGTCCTATGAAAAGCTGCTGAACATTAGTCTTCTGAGAAAGAATAGGACTAAAGACGATCGTAGATATGTCCACAATTCATTCAACCAACAGACACAGAGTTCCCATTATACCATTCTGAAGAACTATCAAAGTAAGAAATTCACCCCCCAGACAAGGTTTCTCTCTGTAGCCCTGGTTGTCCTGGAACTTGATCTGTAGATAAGAGATCTGCCTGCCTCCCCTCCAGCGATTAAAGGTGTGCACCATCACAACCCAGTATGAAGCAGAAAAACAAAAACAAGTAAACAAAAAAACAAGATAAAGACAATCATGTAGTGGTAAATGCTGTGAATCAAATTTTAAAAAGAACAGAAAAATGGGGTAATTTCTTTGAAAAGCCAGCATCTGAACTACAAACTGCATGACAGAAATGAGTTGCTCAAAGCAGACTGGGAGAATACTGAAGCCATAAGGTACAGGAAGAGCAAAGACCTGAAGGCAGCTCACTGTCATCGGACACAACAAAAAGGCATGGACAGCAGAACTACACTGATGTAGTCAGTCTCCAGGGCACAGGATCAGGTAGAATACAGACATGCAAGAAGGGTAAGACAAGAAGGCAAAGGCAAATAGGAAGTGCCTAGCAAGTCTGTAACAGGCCAGCTCTGCCTCCCAAGAGTGCTGGGTTAAAAGTACACCATCATGCCAGGCTAGGGTTTTACTCTGAGAGAGAGAGAGAAAGAGAGAGTGTGTGTGTGTGTGTATGTGTGTAGAGAGAGAGAGAGAGAGAGAGAGAGAGAGAGAGAGAGAGAGAGAGAGAGAGAGAGAGAGAGAGAGAGAGAGTCTCATTTACATTTTAAGGAATCTCTGAGGCTGTGATGGGAGAAATGTACACTAAGCAGCTGAACTTGGAGAGAGGCCAGGAAGTTACTTCAGTTGACCACATAAGAGATGGGGAGAGTCTAGCAAGGATAGTAGCACCAGGAATGGGGAAAAAACACATATGAAGTGCTATAATTTATTTTAATTAAAGGGGCTGGAGAGATGACTCAGTCATTAAGAGCATTTTCTACTTGTCCAGAGGACCCCAGTTTGGTTCCTAATCCTCTTCTCTGGCAGCTCATACCCAAACTCAGAACCAACTTTAGCTGCTTTAGCACTAGGGAGTCCAACACTCTCTTCTGGCTTCCTTTGATGCACACACACTCACACTCAGGTGCACATTTCACAGATGTAAAACTGTTGGGGGGGGGAAAAAAGTCTTGTAAAAATGAAAGAAATAAGAACCATGTCAGAATGTACTAAGCATCTGGAATTAATTACTCAGGAGATAATGAATGACAATTGAGATTTGTAGGTCTTAGAAAAGCTTATGAGACATCAGCCCAAATAGGCTTTAGCAGATTTAGGATTCTTCATGGTACTTAGCCTTAGAAGCTGGGGTGAAGAGGGCATTGTCCTTTGGTGTCAGTGGTTAAAAATAAAACAACAACAAAAACCCTGTAATAAGATGGCACATACCCTAAACTAACAAAGTGCATTAAGTGTGCTAAGTAAATACCTCCAGGGTCTCATGGGTGGGGTAATAACTACTACTTAGCTTTTGGAGCAGGGTATAACTAAAGATTATACCTAAATTTACTTGAGTGGAACTACTAAATAAGACTCTTCTCAAATCCCACATTGTACTTGTTGCCTTGAGAATATAACAAGCTAAGCCTCACACTTCATACAATGTTTATGATTTCTTAAATCTCACAATATCACCAAAGAGACACGGGAGGAAAACTTTCAACACCAGGGCATTAATAGCTATTGTTGCCTGGTGGTGGCAGCAAAAGTGCACACCTTTGATCCCATCACTCAGGAGGCAGAGGCAGGCAGCTCTCTCATGAGTTCGAGGCCAACCTGGTCTACAGAGCCGGTTCCAGGACTGCCAGGGCTTCTACACAAAGAAACCCTGTTTTGGGAGGGAAATAAAACAAAACAAAAACTATTGCTTTTCCAACATAGTGGATTTCACTCTAAAAGGTCCACAGCTGCAAAAAATGAATAAAAATTTTAAATGACAGTTGCCAGGAGGTGGTGGTGCATGCCTTTAATCCTAGCATTCAGGTAGATCTCTAAGCTTGACACCAACCTGGTCTAGAGTGAGCTCCAAGACAGCCAGGGCTACACAGAGAACCCCTGTACCAGAAGGAAGGAAGGGAGAGAGGGAGAGAGAGAGAGAGAGAGAGAGAGAGAGAGAGAGAGAGAGAGAGAGAGAGAGAGAGAGAGAGAGAGAGAGAGGGAGGGAGGGAGGGAGGGAGGGAGGGAGGGAGGGAGGGAGGGAGGGAGGGAGGGAGGGGTGCCAGCATGGGGGCAAGGGGGGGAGTTAGAGCTCGTTACCTGCTCTTGCAGAGGACCTGGGTTATGTTCCCAGCACCCACATGGCAGCTCATAACCGCCTATAACTCAAACCCAGGGATTTAACACCTCCTGGGGCACCTAAGAACGCACACGGTGCACAGACATACATATAGGCGAAGTACCCATACACATTAAGTTAAAAAACAAGAACATGCAGCTGGGCAGTGGTGGCACACTCAAGAGGCAGCTGGATCTCTGTGAGTTGGAGCCTGATCTATAGAGTGAGTTCCAGGACAGCCGGGCCTACACAGTGAAACCAGATCTCGGAAAAAAAGGAGCAAATGCAGTATGATACCATATTTTTTATAAAATAAATAAATGCAAAAGTATCTGGAAGGACATAAACTAACATCTGGCAAGTTGAGAGACAGGATTACTACTCTTTTCTCCTCATGTACTTCTATCAACATTTTCTCCAATCATCAAAAGAATATTTCGTACAAGCAAAAATATTGCTTTAGGATAATATAAAGTTTTTTTAAGCTAAAAAAAGTGCAAAAAAATTCCCTTTGTCTATCTATATCACCAGGATTCCTAGTACGGTAAAAGAAAAGGAAAAAAAAAATCCATGACCTACACAGGAGGAAAAGATTCGCTAACAGGTCCGTTACTGTCCAAGGACACATCTTTCAAAGAAGGAATCTAAATTCTTAAGACATTTTCCCAGATTTGATGGAAAGCAACCACATAGTTTTGTCGTCCTTTCCTGTTGCTTACCACAGAAACACTTCAACTGAGGCTCTTTAGAGAGGGGAAATGTCCCTCTTTAAACCACGTTGGGACACCCAAGTTTCGTCTCTGGTCTGGGTACGGAGGGCAGAAGGGTGGGCGACTGCACTAAAGGAATCTGCGTGAGCAGTGAGTCACCTGAAGCAGGAGCGCGCAGCTGCTTCCCCTAATCTCCACATCAGACACAGGGCAGCGAGAACGCCTCCGAAGCCTTTCCAAATTCTTGTACGAATAGCTGCTAGCAGTTTCTGAAAACACCGTACAAAATCGGGAGGGTCTTTTCTACAAGTGCAGGTATAAATGCTTGCTGGTATAAAAGCTTCCTGGAGCTCATCCGCCGCTCCAGATGCAAACCCAAGGCATTCCATTATTAAGGCCACATTCTCGGTTTTTCCAACTGGGGCAACTAAAAGCATCCTGCCGCCTCTCTACGGTTAGCCAAGTATCATCTTAGCGAAAATCCTAACGTTTAAACAGCCACTTCGGAAAACTTCGGCTTTAAGCAGCGACACTGATCTCAAACCATTGCCAGGCTATCGCCCTTCATTCCTTCTAATAACGGTGCTGCTACCTGCCCGTTTTCAGTCCGGGCTCTACGTACAGAACCGACAGAAAAGGGGACTCTTTTAGATCCGCAACACAATGGAGGATGAAAAGGGCTCTCGCTTTCAGGGTGGCAGCTATCGCCCTTCACAACAAAGGGCCGCGTTCGGATGGCTTCTTCGGACCCACCAGGCAAAAGCCACCGCCCGGCTTTCGGGGTTACTGTCCCCCAATCCCCTGCACGCCCACACTGCCTATCGGGCCCTCAGAGTGAGAGTGTCCGGACGGACCGCGGGTGCCCGTCCAGCCCAGCTGCAGGCTGCCCGGCCGGCGGCCGCGGGCTCCCTAGATGCAGCGCCCAGACCGAGCTGCCCTCTCCGCCGCAGCCGTCCCCGGGAGCGCGCGGGCACCCAAGTGGCGACGCGAAGTCGGCCGCCGAAGAGGGCGGTGGGCCAGGGGGACACTCACCCGCCCAAACAAGCGGCGGGCGGGGAGGGTGGCAGCCGGGAGCGCTCCGGACGCCGCTGTCGCTGCCGCTGCTGCTGGCCGCCGGCCTCCTCCCCTCTGTTTGGATTCGACAGACCACGTCACTCTTAGCCACGAGACCCGGATCTGCCGGCTCCGGAGGGCGGCGCAACAGATGGCAGCGCCCCGAGCCGCCCGTGACCCCACCCAGTGAGCATGCGCGTGTCGCGCTGGCCACCCGCGGCGGAGGGGGGCGGCTCCCGCAGCGTCAGCGCTGACGTGCGTGGGCGCGCCGGGCGGAGGAGGAGGAGGAAGTTCCGGTGGGGAGGGGTGGGGCTGCTCCTCGGTGTGGCAGGGCGGACGGGACTGCCGGATTGTCCCACGTAAGTCTCAGTGCGCCGAGGGAACAGCTCCCGTCCGCCGCAGTGTTGAGTCACACTTGGGTGGAGTGCGCGTGAACTGATGTCTGCTGAGACCCGGTGTCCCTGCGGAGGTGGGGGTGGCTCACGTGAAAGTCGGGACTCGGAGATCACAGAAGCGCGTCCGCCGTGGTGGTTTGAGCGGTCCTGGTGACGTTCCCAACAGTTTCGGCCCGGAAGGCAGGCCTACATGAAGTTCAGCCTTAACGTTGAAAGGGATGAGTTAGAAGCCCGGCGTGGTGACGCAACAGCACTCGGGAGACAGTGGCAGACTGGTCTGCAGAGCGAGTTCCAGGACAGCCATGGATACAGAGGGACCCTGTGCGGAGTGCGCGCGGGGAGGGGGGCGGCAGTAATGTGAATTCTAGGGCAGCCAGTGCGATACAGAATCTGTCTCAATTTTTATAAAAAGTGAGGGGAACCCGGCTGTGGGGTTGGCTTCCTGGCTCGAGACCGACAGAGGCCAAAGAAGGGTAGCAGTGCTTCCTTTCTTGGGCTAGGGAGGCTAGGAAGCAGTTCAACAACCCAAAGACAACTTCACTCCTGTGTAAGGAAACAAGTGTGGAGCCTGGTGAACAAGAGCATCTTTACAAGGAGTTGTGGAAGCCATTATTTTTTGGGAGGCAGGGGGTGTTTTGAGACAGGGTTTCTCTGTGGCTTTGGAGGCCGTTCTGGAACCTGCCCTTGTAGACCAGACTGGTCTTGAACTCACAAAGATCTCCCTGCCTCTGCCACCTGAGTGCTGGGATTAAAGGCGTGAGGCATGTGTTAACTCTTGCCCGGCTGGAAGCCCTAATTCTACAGGTGTATTCAGCAGCTTCAAGGAACTCTGAATAAGACCAAGAGTGTTGTGATAAGTAAACATAAGAAGAATCTAAGGTCTGGGAAAAAAATGGATTTCAGAAAATATCCACATGGAATTTCATTTTCTTCCCTAACATGTTAAAAAAAAAAGGAAAAAATGACTGGTTAAATACAGTCTGCCTATGGCTGCATGGTTCATGCTTTCTGTGTTCTAATGAAGTAGGGCCTGCATACTTTGGTAAGGTTACAAGTTACAAAAAAAAAAAAGGTGAGAAACTCTAGAGCTCTGTCTTACTGTCTTACTCAGTACATACTGTAACTCCAAAAATTCGCTGAAGAAACCATCCCATTAAAAACAAAAACAGAAGCCCTCAATATTTCTCAGTTGCTGAGTTAAGAAAAACCAAGTTGGACAAACCGTGGTCATACACACCTTTAATTCCAGCACTTGGAAGAGGCAGTCAGCTCTCAGAGTTTGTGGCCACCCTGGTCTACAGAGCAAATTCCAAGACAGCCAGGGCAATACAGAAACCTGTCTTGGAAAACAACAAAAACAAAATGGAATCCATCACTACACTTCTAACCTCCACTGAACTCGGCCAGCGCAGACCCTTCCATGGTTAGCATCCTCAGTTCAATGCTGAGGATAGTCAGCCCCGAGTTTTGAAGAGAAGTGGAGAGCTGAAGTCACTTGGGGAGCTTCTGCTCTTTGGTCTCCTGGCCTGCATGCCGTTGAGTCCCATGTGTGCCTGAGTCAGCTAGACTTCAGAGGCACACATGGGATGGTGAGGCCAGGTCTGAGGCTGGCCCAGTCCCGTTCTGTAAAAGCCTGGGTGGCAGCTGCCCGAACCGCCACTGCAACAAAGCATTCTGTCAACTGCTAGATGTGCCTGTCCTTTTCAAAGATGGTTGCAAAAAGATTGTTCTAGGCAGCTGATTGGGGATGGGAACTCCTGACATAGAGGTCTGAACAGTTTCTAAATCCATTTTCAAAAAAGGGAAAAAAGGTTTTCTGTTCTCTTTTTCTTCAGAACAATTGCAGGCTTTGTATTAAAAAAAAAAAAAAAGATGAAAAACAGACATCCACTTGCCAAGCAAATGTACCACTTCTGCCCTGACTCCCCAGCTTGTAATCTACTTTTTCATTTTATAGATCGGGTGTGGGTTCGTTCATTCACTCTGGTCTGTGGAAAGAAGACAGAGCACTTTAAGGATGGACCTAGCCTTTCCAGCTGCAGGGGGCTCAGCCTCTCGGGGACTGAGACATTAGCTTAGCAAAGGGCTTCTTTATCATTACACAATTCACACTTTATCAAGTCAGTCTTCTTAATAAAAACATCTTTTTTTTACAACTTTATTGACTCTTTGGGGGTTTCACATGCACCCCAATTCTGTTCATCTCTTGGTCCCTCATATTCTCCCCTCATCCCTGTTGCATCCCCCATGAAAAAAAGTCGGCAAGCAAGCAAATAAATAAACCAAACAGAACAAAAAAACCACACCCAAAAACAGAAATCTCTGCTTCTTCTTTCCTGCCTCTCCATCACCTCTTCATCCCTCCTGACGGCATTGGAGGCTTTGGTGTGTCATACAGTGTGCCTCTTGTCCCATCAACTTGACTGGCAACTGTTCATTGCAGTCAATGAACCAAACATCTTACCATCCCAAATGTTTGCTGGATACTCCCCCAGCCAAGTTTTGCATAGGCTTTGAAACCTTAGGAAACTCTCAGATAAAAGTTCAGAGGCCAGGGGCCATGGTGGCACATGCCTTTAATCCCAGCAGAGGCACACAGATCTCTGTGAGTTCAAGGCCAGCCTGGTCTACAGAGCAAGTTCCAGGACAGTCACCAAAGCTACAGAGAAACCCTGTCTCAAAAAACCAAAAGAAAAAAAAAAAGTTCAAACAAAAGGTATGGAGACAAGGCAGATCAAAGCCAGGTGTTATCATTCCAGAATCAAGGCAGCTGCAGATATCTACAGGAACTCCCAACATATCTCCCTTTTCTATATGTGACAATTAATTACATTGGAGATTATATAGCTTTACAGCAAATACAGCCTTCCCCTATCTTTCTGTTTCACAATCTTGTATAAGTAAGCCAACATAATTTAAACCCAATAAGGTTATTATTGCTAGCACAACAGTTGTACTTGATAAAACAGGGAAACTATTAAGTAATTCATTAGGGTTAAATGAGGCTATCTGCATGGCTTTCCATAACATCCATTTCTGTCATTATCAGGTCACTTGTAAACGTTTCCTCAATTTTTTGCTATATATCATAAATCATTTGAGAAGAATTAAGGTGACCCATTAAATGTATCTTAATCTCCAAATCATGCTTGCTTTCATTAAACTTTAAAGGTGTAATACAAAAGGGTGTAACATTCCAATTCCAATTTAATTTTATCTTCTCTTTAATATTTTTAACTGATGTAACAGTATAACAACTTGTCTCAAATCAGCTATTTTATTGTGTTCAGTCCAGAGTTCTATTGAATGTTGATGCCGGTCTCCAACAAACTCAGCAGTTTGAATTTCTTTATGAAGGGTCACTCCAGCTGTTGCAGCAATAGCAGTCAATGCAATAATTCCCATAACAACAACCATAGTCAGCCCAACCACTCAACACGTTCTTAAGATTCTTTCAGGGAGCTTCTGTATCAGGGACGTCACAGGTGAGTCTTGCCATGGCCTTGACAACTTCACCAGTATTCCGATTGATGGTCTTGTTCTAAGGATGTATAAACTTTCAGAGGTTAAGTTTAGAGACATGCTAGAATTAGCACAGGTAGGCCAGCCTGGTCTACAGATCGAGTTCCAGGACAGCCTCCAAAGCCACAGAGAAACCAAAAAAAAAAAAAAAAAAAAAAAAAAGAGCACAGGTATGAAGGGTACAGTGTTCACAAGTGGTGCTGTAACTATTAGGGTGGTCTAAACCTGTAAACTAGGGGTAGGGTACGTAGAAGGATGTTGACTTCAAGGCCAACCTGGGCTATATTTGAGAACTTGCAAGTGAAATGTCTAAGAAGATAAGATGGCTGAGCCTAAACACCTCAGTGCTACCCTCAGTCACGTGGGAGACGTGAGAACTAATTCTCAAAACGTGTCCTTCCGCTTTCACATACACACCGTGTCCTGTATATAAACCTGTTCCCCAGTGTTTTTAAAGTCACACACAAAAATTACCAGGGTGGGGATGGTGGTGGTGGTGTGTTGGGGGACAGAAGTCCTTGTATTCACAAAGAAGCATTAAGGAAAACCAGGGATGTTAAACACACCACACAGGGGCCTCTTCTCGATAGAGGAGATAAAATACCCGTGTTGCTGCCCAGAAGACTGGGAATGGATTTTGTTAACAATCTCCTGACCTTTTTACTATCTGTGGAGGCAGGCCTCACCCACCTTCTACTGTAGAGTCAGACCTCACCCGAATTCCCAAGAATGGTTATCCCAGACTTTTCCACCCCAAGAATGTTAGCCATCCTTAGGGAGATGTCCTATGTACTGCTGACCTCTATGTTATCAGTTAGAGACTACACTAGATTCTAGGCCTTAGCCATAGAACCCACCCTCATGGCCACATGAACTTTGTAAAAGAGTCTCTGTATACTCACACCTTAAGCTTTATTGTGCACCCAGAATTGTAGTGACTGTTGCCAGGAAAACTTTTCCCAAATTGTACTGTTTTAAATATGCTGACAATGAACCACCTAACATTAGACTCCCCAAAGTTTAATCCATATGAAAAAGTCAAACTGAATTGGGTTTTCACTCTTGTAACTGCCTCTCGAATGCTGGGATAAAAAGCATGTGCCAACATGCCCGACTTGGTTTGGTTTTTTGAGACAAGGTTTCTCTGTGTATTCCTGGCTATCCTGGAAATCCAAAGTCAAAATGCCAGAGGGGTTGGCTTCCAATGAGGCCAGTCTTCCTGATTTACAGTTTCCTTTTTGCTATGCCCTCATAGAATCTTCATAC